TAACAGAATATTGAGCAAATGTCTTTAGTTTATTCCACCCTCCTTACCTTCTCCCACAAGACAAATGGATCTGTGTTATGAAAAGTTATGAGGCACAACTCTAGCATCTGCAGCATGTCTCACATCCTTGTGAAAGTTTAAGAGCTTCACAGAACTCCAAAAATAAAATAAAACTCCTAAATAAGCACTTACGATGATGATGACGATAATGATGATGAGCTTGAGGGTTTCTGATGGTTTCTTTACATATAAAGATATGCTGCCTATGCCAGTGCATGCGCATCCATGTGTAACTGGCAAACGTCAGTCTGACATCCTGTTTTTCCAAACAGAAAAGTTCATAGACATAATAGCAGTTCTTGCAATTCAGAATGGAGGTAACCTGAATCCTTTGTTACCGCAGTGTTGTCAGTTCTCCTTAGACTGCATCACGAGCCTTGGGAATAAACCTGTAAACCTCATCTGTCCCAGGATGCACCATCTAACATGAGGCTTATCAGTCTGAATATCCATTAGAGTCAGCACTGACACTAGTGTTGATTGAGGCAAAAAACTTGTGATAATACAGTTACTGGCTGTCCGATGTTTCCCTTTAAAGTTCTTGGGAATTGAGCTGTTAATAGACACCCACTCCCTCCCCCCTTTCCCAGAACATTAGAAATGTTATTCAGTCCCTGTGTACCTCTCAGACTCTGAAGATGTGACCAGAGGGTTCCAGACATGAGGTAGCACTAGTAGTATTCCTCATAGTTCTTGGGGTTGAGGCAGTAGAGGATTCCCCCACCGAAGGAAAAGATGGTGCCTCCCCAGGCCAGGCCGTAGCCCCAGTTAAATTCATGGTAGATCCTCAAGTTGATACTCTCGATGAACTTGACAGGGTAGAGGACCAAACTGCAGGCCTGGAGTACAACTGGATGCGATACACAGATTTTAGTAAAATTCTACGCATGCATGTAAAGCTGAAAATAAACTGGAATTAAAAAAAAAGGTTTATGTCTCAAACTGCACAAATTGACAATTAAATGGATAAAAGTTATATTTAAAATCCCACAAAGAAATTGTTCAAGTGGATATAGCAATTTAATCTTCGTAGCAGATCGTTTTGAACAGAAAACATCGTCTTATGGATCATTAACATCAGTTAGTCCTGCTATCACCCAGAGTCAGTCTAAATTTAGCATATCCAATAAAACCATGCAAAATTTTACCTTTACAATATAAAATGATCTGAGTTACAGGTCTTTGATGTGCATTGGTGTTGGTTAAAATTTGCCAGTATTTCAGTTTTCTGATGTGTACTAATTGTACACATCCATGATGTTTCGAGTTGGGTATTTACCCATTAAATTTGACTCTCATCTGGAGAACTTTATGGCACCAGCTAATCTTTACTCTTTATCTTTAAAAAATGTAATCCGATCCATTAAATATCATAAAAGCACCTCACAAAACTTGCAACACGGCGTAACCCAGCTCATAACCGTAGCACGTTGGGGCAGCATGCGTAACGTGATAGAGCAGCTGTGGCGTGCGAGACCTCTCGGCGGCCTGGCTGAGCATTTGGAGCCTCACTATCAAACCGGCATTTCATCTCTGAGAAAGTTTACCTAAGTTCATCTCTGAATGTTTGTAAAGTACGGAGCCCCGCAGGGGACATGGGAGAAAAAAAAATTAAGACAAACTTTTGCGAGATCTCGCAAAACAAACTCGGGATCTTGCAAAAGTTGAATTCCAACAATGGCGGCAGCTACTTAGTTGTAATTTTTCTCTTTCTGGGTCACAAAATACACTTTTAAGATATTTTGAGGCGTGAATGTAGTTGTGTAAATGTCAGATACCTGCTCGGTTTACAAGACATCACATATTTGCAAAAGTGCTCCGACGTCTTCGGAGATCTGACACCCACTAGCTTGAAGCTAACGGGAGGTCGAGACCTACTACAGCCGGGAGGAACACCGCTTTCCCGGCACATCGTGCCTCGACCTCCCGGTCGGCTTCGAGCT